TAGTCCAGAATGCAGCCACGCGAGTGATATTGGATATACCACACCTATCCTCCGTGAGCTGCACTGGCTTCCCATTGGTCTCCGGACGCAATTCAAGGTGCTGGTTATCACCTTTAAAGCCCTACATGGCCTAGGACCCGGATATCTGTGGGACCGTCTTCTGCCACATGCTTCCCAATGACCGATAAGATCACAGGGAGGGCCTTCTCTGGGTGCCGTCAGCCAGACAATGTCGGCTGGCAACTAACCGGGGGAGGGCCTTCTCTGTAGCCTCTCCGACCCTCTGGAATAAACTGCCCCCAGAGATCCGGACCCTACCCACTCTAGCCTTCCATAAGGCTCTTAAGACCTGGCTATTCCGGCAGGCCCCGGGCTGTTGAACTCACGATTGAGTTCCAGCCCCGATTAGAATGGGTGTATGTTGTGGTCTTTTTAACTATGTTTTTGTGTTTTAACTTCTATTTTAAATGTATTGTTGTAAGCCGCCCGGAGTCCTTCGGGATTGGGCAGCCTATATATTTATTAAACATCAAACATTAAACACATCAAAAATAGAGTATTTTGGCATATGGAGTTTTCTTAATATGTGACACTCCCTCACCTGGATATTAATGTTACATCTCAGGATCAAATAGTTTTTGATGTTTTCTTTGTTCTTAACTAGAATTGGGTGAGAATCTTGGCATGGACGCTATGGAATTTTAGCCTTTGGTCATTGCCTAGATACCAATTTGTCTATGATAAAGTGCTTGCCCTGCTCCTCAATAAATAGTACGTAACTACTAATAGAATAAATGTTTCAAATCTAATTTTGGGTGGATCCCAGTTTAGTCAGAGACCTGAACTGCAGAACTGAGTGACAAAAATTTAGCAGTCTTTATTACTCCGAGATGTTACATTTACTTACAATTTTAAAATTATGTATTTTCCTTTATGGGAAAGCTGTATATATTGTAGAAAACAAAATTTGAAATATTCAGTTTCAGCTTCATATATATTTTGGCTGTGGTTGCTTTAAATACATTTGTATCCTATCCTTAAATGTAATAACAAGAACTATCAGAAAGACAGAACAATAATAACATAGTTATTATTTATCCATAGCACAAGAAGGAAACCAATAATGTTGAAACAGTGGATCTTTTCTGTTTATGTACAACTTAATTGATGTACATTTATAAAAAATATATCATTTCAGTTGTCAGAAGATTATGGAAAAACATCTAATGTAAAAAAAACCATCTATGATATTACCAAAGATAAACTGTTTTACGTTTCTTGACTTCAGTATAAGGGTATTGCATATTTACAACACTCCCATGGACATCAAGGTTCTTTGATAGAACTGTAGCTTTTCTAACATTGTGATAATGAGAGCTTTTTCCTTCTGTTTGCCTGCTAGTTTGGAATATTTATTACAAGACAGGTATAGTGAAGTGAAAGTTGCAGAAACAAAGCTGGTTTTGTATGCACAACTGTGATGGCTCAAGCTCTATACCTACAGAAAAATCAACTGGTATTTTATTGTTTATTGATTTTTAAAAATTATAAGGATCTCTTATCACAGTTTGTGTCTCTGGCTGGCATATAACAACAAAGATAAAAAGAAAATCAAGATCCAAAAAGGGAAAAGGGAAAACAACACAAGAAAGCAAATATAGGTAGTCCTCGACTTATGATTACAGTTGAGCCCAAAGTTTATGTTGCTAAGTGAGAAATTTGTTGATTGAGTTTTGCCCCATTTTATCACTTTTCTTGCCATATATGTTAAGTGAATCACTGCAGTTGCTAAATTAATAACATGGTTGTTAAATGAATCTTGTTTCTCCGTTGACTTTGCTTGTCACAAAAGGTGATCACATGACTTCTGGACTTTGCAACTAAATATGAACTGGTTGTCAAGCATTCAAATGTAAATCATGTGACCATGGGGATGCTGCAAAGGTTGTAAGTGTAAAAAATGGTCGTAAGTCACTTTTTTCAGTGTCATTGTAACTTTGAACAGTCACTAAATAAACTGTTGTAAGTCAAGGACTACCTATAACTAATATATATTATAAGAACATATACCAAAGGTCACTGATGATAATGTACACTTTCATAAAATGGACTCATTTAGCGTTCTGGTCAGAAAAACCAGATCTTTCTGAAGTCTATCAAAAGTCAGGAATAAAGAAGGCATATGCACATCATTCTTATATCTAATATCGATCCTTTATGCTAGTGAAAATATTATGGATAGAAGCAAAGTAGAAGACTGGAATGGAAATATGAACATTTTACATTCGTTGTTAAATAGTTTAAATCATGTTGAATTAATCACTTACAAGTGCTTAACTTTAAATGCATAATGATCCATATGGATATCTGATAGCATGGATATAACATATACCATCCACATATGAACATGTCTGTTCCTGTGAATCTTTCCACATGCTTTGATTGTAAGCCGCCCTGAGTCCCCTCAGGGAAAAGGGCGGCCTATAAATGTGCAATAAATACAAATACAAATACAAATGCAACTAGTCTCCTATCACTGAGGACAATGAGAAGCTGCCTTGCTGTTCTAAACAAGGCTCCTGTCCTCAGCTGATAGAGAGTGCTGTCGTGTTACTGATAGTGAAGTGTACAAGTTTTTATGCATCCTCATCTCTTTTACTTATGGGTTCTATGGTATTTTAAATCATAGGTCAAGACTCCCTTTTTCAAGCCATGGAGCAGTCCGTTCTTCATTTTCTGCCATCCAGGGCTGAAATTCAGCAGGTTCTAACAGGTTCTGGAGAACCGTAGCACAAATTTTGAGTAGTTCAGAGAACCGGCAAATACCACCTCTGGCTGTCCCCAGAGTGGGGAGGGAATGGGGATTTTGCAGTATTCTTCCCCTGGAGTGGGGAGGGAATGGGCATTTTGCAGTATCCTGCCCTGCCAAGCCCACCAAGCCATGCCCATAGAACTGGTAGTAAAACATTTTGAATTTCACCACTGGTGCCATCTATATGTAGGATGTCAATGAGCTTAACTTTCAGCAAGAGAAAAACCCCTATATTTTCTCTTTCTGAACTCTGTATAGGCATTTGCCAGATAAATGTTTGCTAAACATTCACTAGTGCCCAAAAGAAATGTGTGTTAAAAATATCCAAACTTTAGGCAATGTAGGGGTGAAAAATCCATAATAGATTCAGAAGTATCTGTCTGAACAAAAGAGTGACAATTGAGTAAAATTGAAGTAGAAAATAGAGATTGGTCTATCTCAGGTTTAAGGTCTATGTAATTCTTGTATCATGTCTTCTTTAAAGGAATTCTGAGCTGTATTTTATTATTCATTTTATTCATTAAAAAAGTGACCCCAGTATTGTGAATTTTAGCATGAGATAGACTCAACAAAATAATTCAACATAATTGAAAATAATTTAATTAATTTTAAAAATACCAAACAATTACCCTCACTATAATGTTATCATTTTTAATACAAAAGCCAAAATACTAAAAGCAGCACTCAGGAATGATTGACCTCAATTCAAAACTTGATTATTTAGATAATGTCAATTATTCAGTCCAAGGGGAGAACATTTTTTGCTCAGGTACTACGTATTCCAAACCATTTAGGATTTTAAATGTCTTGAACAAAGGCCTATGGTTTCTTTCAAACTGGTGTTGAATGGATTCCATAAGCCATTCCTGACTGCTACATTCTACACTTCGGAGTTACAGAAATCCCCTTAGTTCAGACCAAGTCATAATCTTTTGTCCAGAATTCAATATAGCCTTCCCAACATTCAGATTCAACAGCTTAGAGCTGCATAACTATTAGAAATCATTTGTATGATTTCTATAAATAGATTTGTATAAATCTTCAAAGATAGTTTTCAAAGTTTCTGTGACAATTCTATCAAGTTACAATTCTGTAAGTGCCTGGAAAAAAAAATACTGGATAAAGCCATAAGAAGGTGAGAAGGCTAAGGGAACCTGAACTGCATTTCTGAAAAGAGGCTACCTGTGTTACTGAATGAGTTCATTCTTATGTATGCTGAGATTTTTTTTTATTTGCCAAAGAGCCAGCAGATGTCTATACAGACTCTAGAGAACTCAGACCTCTAGTCTTATGCTCAAAGGCCAGAACTAGGCTTTATTTCTGCCTCACTACCTTGGGCATGCTTCTCCCTGGTGTTTGTGACCACTATGCAACTTTATTCTTTGGAACATTACATGTTGTAACAGAAGGGCAAGCAGCTTCCCACTATTTGTTGCATATCTGTGGAGTCAAGCCATCTGTCAGTAAAACAGAAAACCTAAGTTCCTTTTCTCTCCAGGGTTCAGTTTGTTATTTTGGAGAGGGCTTCCATTCCCCATGTGGAAGAAAGCTGGTATGGTTTGAAGCAAAGATGGTTGAAAAAGAGAGGGCCAAAAGACTGAAGCTGCTGTTTTGCCCATCTGCCACTGCTTGAGGTGTATTCATTATTAATGGAGGTAGTAGCGGTTGCTGTTCAGATATGCAGGCCTGCCTGGGTAAATGAGACATTCTTCAGCAAATTGCTTCGGTTTTTGATTGCTGATTGTACGCGTGTCACCAAGCTGACTCAAGGTTCATCGATGCATGCTCAGTAAATTAGAAAGAACATAACTATGGATCAGCCAAGAGAATGAATTCTTTGCCTACAATGACCCAGGGCCATTTAATTTTCTGCTTAATTTTGTTGCAGTCAGTTTGCATTTTGGGTTATTATGCAGTAGGAAATTAACAATAAATAACAAATTTGGTCCTCCTGTGCTTGTAATGATATTTTTATAAATCTTTGTAATGCTCTTTTTAAAAGGATCAAGGTCTGCACCAGGCTGATACCTCACAAATATGCAGTATAGGAAAGAAAGGGGGGGGGGGACATTAGTCCTGGCAGATAATCTCATAGTTAAATAGCAACTCCCTTCTCTTTCTCAGCTCTCTCCTGTGATTTTATATTTCACATTAAGCTTAAGGTTTTTCTTTTTCTCTTTTTTTCCAGATAATTTGAGGAAAATGGAAACAGATGAGGCTCAAGATATGTCCCAAGTTTCTGGTGAGATGGGATATATAAAGAATATGACTTTTTTAAAAAAGTGGGGATCTCCCATCCAACTTCAAATTTATTAAGATCATAGCATTTTTGTTATTGTCAGGACAGGTGCTTCAATATTTTGAAATGATTGAATGCAGATCAGGATTAAGGCTTACCATTTCATATCAAGCCTAGTAATGGATTTTAAAAACAAAATTTGGGGAAAAACTGAAATAGGGGAAGTATACCTGTTCGTATGCATAGATCTTCCTTTTTCTCACAGAACAAGGAGCCTATGTGACACATTTTAAATTCAAAGCCAGACAGATTACAGTTTTTTTATATGTAACACAGCAAATACAAACCAGATAAATAATTCTTATTTTATCTATCAAGTACTATCTATCAGTATTTTTCTAAACTTAATGATCTTTAGTTTTATAATTAGCCTAAGACTGAACAGATTTCCTTGCTTAGATTTCCTTAGACTTGAATTTTTATTTTTATGCAATGAAATTGTCTTACACAGTTTGTTTTGTGCAACAATTGTAGGGGGGGGTACTTGAAGGAACATTACTGTTTGAGGAGACAGAAAATAACATGCAATTGGAGTTCTACTAAAGACCTCGGTATTTCGTAGTCCATTAGAGCTGGAATTTTAATCCTTCTAGATATATCTACAATATATATTTCTAAAAACTGTATAAAGCATTAAAGACCTGGTCATTAAAATGTACATATTAAGAGTAAATAATATTAAGAGTAAATAATACCTTGACCCAAACACAGAAGACAAAATTACGATTTTATTGTAGCTAAGTAACCAATAGAAGAACATAATCACAGAATTGTAGAATTTTAAAAACACAGAATCATATGGCTGGACAGGAGGTCTTCCAGTCCAACCACCTGCCCAAAGCAGGAATACTTATATAAGCCTGAACAAATAATTGTACAATTTTTCTTGAAAATCTCCAGCGGTGAAGCATGCACAACTCCCTGAGGCAAGCTGTTCTCATTGGTTAATTATTCTCACTCTTCTAGGCTGGTTCTCTCTTTGATAATCTTCCATTCTTTACTTCTTAGCCTGCTCTCAAGTGTTATGGAGAATAAATTAACCCCCTCTTCCCTATGACAGCCCTTCAAGTATTAAAAGATGGCGAGCATGTCACCTATAAAATTTCTCTTTAAAAGGCTAAACATGCCTAGTTCCAATAACCATTGCCTCATGCGATTTAGACTCCCTTATTATCTTTCCTGCTCTTCTCTGCATACTTTTTGGGGTGCCAGCATCTATTTGTATTGGGGTGACCAGACCTGGATGCAGTATTCCAAGTATAGTCTTGCCGGTGCAATAGACTATCACTTCATGTGGTTTTGAAATTATCCCTGTGTTGATGCAGTCTAGGACATTATTGGGTTTTTGCTAACGGCAGCAAACTACAGATTTATACTTAACTAATGGTCCACTAGGAGACTCACAGGCACTACTGTAGAGCCTGTTACTCCTGTTTCTATACCCGTTCTTGTTTTTCTGCCTAAATTACTGGACAATCACTTGTCTCAAATGATAAAGGGTTTCCTGCTTAGCGGGTTGGACTAGAAGACCTATAAAGTCCCTTCCAACTCTATTCCGATTGATATTTATACCACCAAACTGTATCTTATTGCATAGACTTCAATGTCAAGATCCTTCTGAATCTTGAGTATATGTTCCAAAGTGTTGGCAATTCCCTCCAGTTTGGTGTCATCCACAAATTTGATAGTGCCCCTTCAATCTCCTCATCTAGGTCATTTATGAAGATGTTGAATAAGAAAATAACAGAGTTAGAAGGGAGAAGAGACCTTGAAGATCTTCTAGTCCAATCCCCTGCTAAAGCGGGAAACCCAATACCATTTCAGACAAATGACAGTCCAATCTCTTCTTAAAAACCTCTAGTATTGGAGCATCCATAAGTTTCTGGAAGCAAGTTGTTCCAATGATTAATTGTTCTATCTGTCAGAAAAATTCTCTTTAGTTATTTTCTCTCCTTTATTAGTTTCCATTGCTTCTAGTCCTGCCCTCGGGTGCTTTGGAAAATAAGTTGACTCCTCTTCTTTGTGGCAGCCCCTTAGATATTTCAACATTGCTACCCTATCACCACTAATCCTTCTTTTCATTAAACTAGACATACCCAATTCTTGAAACCATTCTTCATATGTTTTAGCCTTTAGTCCCCTAATTGTCTTTGTTCTTCTCTGAATTTTTCTAGAGTCTCAACATCTTTTTAATATTGTGACCAAAACTGGATGCACTGTTACAAGTGTGGTGTTACCAAGACATTACAAAACAGTATTAACACTTCATATGATCTTGATTCTATCCCTCTGTTAATGCAGCCTAGGACTGTTTTGGCTTTTTTGGTAGTTGCAGCACACTGCTGGCTTATATTTACCACAAAATACTAGAATAACTAAGACTCCAAGATCCATCTCATTGTTACTATAATTGAACAAGTTACTACCTATTCTGTACTTGTGTATTTGGTTTTTCTTGCCTAAAAATAGAACTGTACTGGGCCTAAGATGAGACCTTAGGTAATCCACTGCATTCTTCCCTCGACCAGATCTACTCCATTGAAGTGTGGATATTTAGCCAACTGCATAACAACATAGCAATATAACAGGGCAGAGTATAATCTTAAGAATGTCAGCAAGTATTACTGGTCTTCTCTTTATGTTAGACACTCTTAGCTTCTTTATTGTTTAGGCTTTTTAATAAGGTTGTTTCTGAGAAACCCCAGATTACTCTTTAAAATTGCATTTTGAAAAAGAATGAATGTCCTTAAAAACATGTGATATGACAATTGTATAAGACTTTTCATGTTGTCTTTTTCAAATGGTGCAATAGATACGATTCTTCTGAGTAAGATCTGTAGAGTCCTGTACAAACCTTTAGTAGGGCAGCCTGGGTTTTTCTTGGCACAGTTTATATATTAGCATTTAGGATACTTCTTAGCTATGTTTCCAGCCACTGTGATCCCAGATTGTTGATACTATTATGGGATAGAGCCTGTTTACCTCCAGTTTGGCTATGTCAAAAGGAGTTATTAAACACAGTTTGGTCTAGTGCAATGTTTCTCAACCTTGGCAACTTGAAGACGTCTGGACTTCAACTCTCAGAATTCCCCACCCAGCAAATGTTGAAGTCTGGACGTCTTCAAGTTGCCAAGGTTGAGAAACACTGGTCTAGTTGTTAGGGCACCTGGAGAGAAAGTGAGAGACTATGAGCTCTTCCCCCTTAGCCATAAAAGCCAGCTGATTGACCTTTGGCCTGTCACTGTCTCTCAGCCTAAGGTTATTGTTGTGGAGAAAAATAGGAGAAGGGGAGGGGATTATTAAGTATCTTCACGGTATTGAGTTGTTTATTGAACAATAATAAAGGTGTGATAGAAATTGAATAAATAAATACATACATATAAGCATGCATGTATACATACATACATACATACATTTCAGATTTCAATCTGTGACAATGGAATTATGGGCAACTTGGGGTAGATTGCTTTCCTTGCTGCAGAATCTCCTGCCTTAACCCATTTATCAACACTTTAGTATGCCCCGGCCAGAAGGCTTCTGTGGCACTTTTCATTGCTGGGCTGATTTCTCTTTCATGAAGTCCTTGGTATCTTCAATGAAAGTAATTATGGACCATTGTTCAATAGTTCTGAAGGTTTATTGAAGGTTTGTGGAAAAGTAGCAGTGGCTGTGTTAAATTGCTTTAAATTTCTCCAATATAAATTATACCCCACTTGCTAACTTTCTGCCTGTGATATCACTAGATCTGGCCTAGATTTGTGTTTCTAATCTAGGCCTACATAATTATGCTTGATTTTTGTTTATTTTGTGTTTCCCTTTCCATAAGCCTATATTAATATAAAAGTTAATGTAGAGAGGGAGGTTTGAAAAAGGAACCTAAAGAATTTTAAAATCTTGTATTTATATATAAGTGGCAAATTCAGCTAAAACCAAATTGAGGAGGAAATGAAATTCAATTTCTGCAGTATCTCATGTGTGTGGTTTCCTGTAAAAACACCTGCATCAGAAAGCAGGATAGGGCTTGGGTGGAGTAAGAATTAAGTTTTTAGCAAGTCTTTAGTAAGCCGGATGTTAGGAGAAGGACAACTGACTTGTGACATCACTTATTTTTCTCTAAGATTTGATATAAAAATTGGAACAAATTAATAGAGAAAATTAGATTAAGATTAATGGGATTTATATTTAACAAAGAAATACTTTTCTGAATTCCAACTGCAGAGGAGAGACACTAGGCCTGGGCACATATGAAGCTTGTAAGCATCACAGAAAGAACTAGATACCAATGTCTAGTACAGATAGTCCTCGAGTTACAGTTCATTTAGTGACTGTTCAAAGTTACAACGGCCCTGAAAAAAGTGGCTCATGACCATTTTTCACTCTTATGACTTTTGCAGCATCCACATGGTCATGTGATTTACATTCAGGAGCTTGGCAACTGACTCACGTTTATGATGGTTGCAGTGTCCCAGAGTCATGTCATCTCCTTTTGTGATCTTCTGGCAAGCAAAGTCAAAGAGGATGCCAGGCTTCATTGTGTGTGCCTAATTAGCCCGTTTGAGTAATTTAAGAACTGCAATGATTCACTTAACAAATGAAGCAAGAAAAATTGCAAAATGGAGCAAACTCATTTAACAAATTTCTCACTTAACAACATAAAGTTTGGGCTCCATTGGAGTCATAAGCTGAGGACTACTTGAATTGGATATTCAGCATGAAATGATGTAAACTGTATATATTTATAATACTGAATGCTGGCTAAAAACAGAACCAATGCACTAATCCATTATGGCCTCATTCATTATGGGATTGGTGAATGCTTCAAGTTGGAAAAGGCAATGCACCTTGCCCGCAGGAAGACATAATCTGAATTCATTATAGAGTTACTGATTATTTTAAGCAAGACAGAGAATAAAATTGCTGTCTTTACTAAGATTACCTTTGTA